TCTATCTATCTATCTATCTATCTATCTATCTATCTATCTATCTATCTTTCTTACAATTTATTCACTTTGCATCCTGGCTGTAGTCCTCTCCCTCATCTCCACCCAGTCCCATCCTCCCTCCCTCTTCTCCCGCTATGCCCCTCCCCTAGTCCACTGATAGGGGAGGTCCTTCTCCCCTTCTATCTTAAAAGTTTATTTTCAGCTCTAAATTGTTTGAGTACAATATCATTCATCCTAAGGAAAAACTCGACACAAGGCAAAAATCCTCTTCCAAAACTCTTCTAAGTGTCTAAGAGATGGTTCAGTGGTTTAGAGTACTTGCTCTTCCAGAAGACTCAGGATCAAGTCCCAGAAGCTACATGGTGGCTCACAATGATTCACCACTCCATTTGATGCCTTCTTCCAGCCTTTTCAGACACCAGGCATGAATGTCATTGGTTAGTTAGACACACTGGTTAGTTTTTTAATGTCAGCTTAATACAAGCTAGAGTCATTATAGAGGAAGCAAGACAATAAGTAGCACCCCTCCATGGCCTCTGCATCAGCTCCTGCCTCCAGGATCCTGCCCTGTTTGAGTTCCTGCCCTAACTTCTTTTAGTGATGAACAGCAATGTAGAAGTGTAAGCCAAATAAATCCTTTCCTCCCAACTTGCTTTTTGGTAATGGTGTTTTGTCACAGCAATAGAAATGCTAACTAAGACATATGCTAAACTCTCATACACACAATATGAAATGAATATATCCAAAAAATTAAAAACTGAAGTTCAAACAAACAAAAATACCCCTGACATGAACTGCTCTTTAATTACCTCCCCCTGAGGGGGAAGCAGCATTACCAGGCCACAGAAGAAGACAACGCTGCCACTCCTGATGAGACCTAATTGACTAGGATAAGAAGGAAGGAAAAGAAGTCCTCCCCTATCAGTGGACTTGGGGAGGGGCATGCATGCAGAGGGTGGAGGAAGGGAGGGATTGGGACGGGAGGAGGGAAGGGAACACGGTAGGGGATACAAAGTGAATAAAGTATAATTAATAAAGAAAAAATGTACTAATTATAACTCATAAAAAAATAATATACTCACAATGTGTCTTCCTTTCCCTTTATTCCTCTAAACCTTCTCATATAACCCTTCCCATTCTCCTTCAGATTCATGGCCTCTTTTTTTCCACTAATTGTTGTTTCATGTACACACACACACACACACACACACACACACACACACACACCTAAATATGACTTACTCAGTCTGTATAATTTAACTTGTATGTATGTTTTCAGTTCTGGATAAGGAATCTCTGTGCTCTTCCCTGGGAAAGTCTTTTTCTCTTGCTCTCAGTATTCCTTAGTTGCCTGTAGTTCTTTTTATAGGGTTGATCTTGGCAAAATAACCATAAGGGTTCAGTAACAAATAGCTCTATAATTGAATATAAGATTCAACAAGAGGGAAACTATAAACTACCGGTACAGGAAACCTAGCTAATCAGTGCAATCAAAGTCAGGGCTGTTGAATGAGAACCTACAACCACTACTTTACTAAACCAACACAATCCCTAACTACACCCTAAACATTTGTCCTTATATCCACAGATAAGAGTAGTTTTCATCAAGGAAACTTGTCTTTGAAAGAGAGACCACTACAGGAAATCACAGCCAATCAAAATGCAGCACTGTTGAGCCCAGTCTCAACGGATTGATCTACAAAACACATCCCATCTAAAGTTCAAGGAACATTGCAGAAGAGGGAGAATAATGATTTTAAGAGCCAGAAGACCAGGGAGTTTGCTGTCAGATTGTGTATCCCAATGATATCAGAAGCTACATCCATAAAATCTCAATGTGACTGCCTGAACGTGAGCAGAACAAGGATGACACAAACAGGCATGTTAAAATAGACTGGGGAGAAAAAAAAAAAACAAACCTCACCTTTACACACACAAAACACCTTTTCTAAGATTACATAAAATATGGTGAAATGGATGGGATCCTATATCAAAAAAAAAGATCAGTAGAGAGAAAAGAGGAAAATTCCAATAAAGTCTGGAACATCAGTTAATAGTGATGTTACCTGTGCTGTTTCTTCATCTTGACAAAAATACCATGGCAAAGAAATATGTTAATATTAGAGAAACAGAATATATCTGAGGTATACATTTGTATTTTCTGTATTGAATGTCCATTTTTTTTTCTCTAAATCAAGCTATTCCATAATAAAAAGTAAAATCCCCATCCAAAGAGAATCAATTGTAAAATATTAAACTTATAGGGGAGTTTTTTTTTTTAATCGAAGGAAGCACTGTGATGACTGTGTTATCTATGAATTCTATAAGCATGAAAAAACCACACATTGAGGTACTGGATTAGGTTGTCATACTCTGCCTTTGTCCCTTTTATATTTCCTTCTCTGTGATTTACACTCTTAATTGTCCATCCCTAACTCCTCTAAAGGGCAAATAAAGAGAAAACAGAACATACTAAGTTTTTGAGAGCAAAAACTAAAATTTATTTGTTGGCAGAATAACTGCTATCACCAAGCCAAAAAGGATTTAATGTAATTTTAACTTTTGAAAAATACGTATTCATATATTAGCTTTAATAGAAAACTCACTGAAGGTAACTAGGAACTAGGAACTTTGGAGATATTTTTCATAGGTCTAACCATTTTAATTCTGGGGAACAAAATTAAAATCCTTGTATTAAAGAACAATTGTCAGAGCAACTTGTCACTTGTAGTGGGTGCTATTAAATGCTATAGATTGACCTTTCCTTCAACACCTGGAAAACAAATCTCTCTACCTCTGGCCCTGCTCATTAATGTTTTCCAGGACTGATCCAAGAACAGGTTTCAGTATCCTTTTCAACCAGAAGTTTAATCAACCATCACCACACTAACAGCATTATGAAGCAACTTCATGAAACTTTGAACCATCTGTATTTGTACTGAATTAAGAAAACATCATTTAAAAGTCATTACTCTATTTTAATATAGATTAAAGTTAGTACAGATAAATGCTGCTATATTTTATGTACTTAATTATGAATCAACTAAGGACCATACATGGAAATAGCCTAGACCCCTGCTCAGATACAGTCCATGGGCAACTCAGTCTCCATGTGGGTTTCCTAGTAAGGGGAGTAGGAGCTGTCTCTGACATGGAGTCAGTGGCTGGCTCTTTGATTACCTCTCCCTGGCAAGATGGCCTAATTAGGCCACAGAGAAAGAGGATCCAGACAATCCTGATGAGACCTGATAGGTTAGGGTCAGATAGTAGAGGAGGAGAACCTCCCCTATCAGTGAACTAGGGGAGGGGCATAGGTGAGAAAGAGGGAGGCAGGGTGGGCACAGGAAGAGATGAGGGAGGGGCTACAGCCAGGATACAAGGTAAATAAATTGTAATAAATAATAAAGAAAAAATTTAAAAAAAGAAAGGAAAACAAAATAAAATCAAATTTTACAGGGTTCTAGCAACTTAATAAAAAAACTCCCTGAGGTCAAAGCACAATTTCTTTGTAAGAAAACAGATTACCCATTTCTCCAAGGTCTTCATTAAGTTCCTGAAGCCAGAAGATGTCCATGTCATCTAGATCATATCGGCATGTAGATGCTGCCAGCTCCAGGGTATTGATATAGCCAGGCTCTGCAGACTCTGGGCTAGAGTAACGGATGTATTTCCGGGGCCGGACAAAGAGAACATCCTTTACTTTTTCAGATATAATCCTAGAAAAGCAATAGAAAAAGAATTTGGCAACAATCAACAAATGACAGATTTCAGGTGCTGACAGGATAAGCCAAATGACTCTGGCTATACTGGGGATCATGCACTCTGGGAGATATGGTGGATACCTTTCTAGAAGCAAATAGTTCTACAAATTCAGTTTCAACATCTGCAGTGAACTTATTGACTGATAATGATAGGCTACCATTTAGTCTTTTAAAAATGATAATGTATTGTATATTCTTGGTTTAATAAGTTACCAAGTATATTTAGAAGGGAAAATCTGGTTATGAGTCTTGACTGTACAAAGCTATCATTAAACATATACCTAAGCAAAACCCATGATTTTCTTCCATGGATAGAATACAGAGCACAGGTTTTAGACTCACACAAGCCTGGTTTTTTCTGCCATTCATTTGCAAAGTGGTCCTGGAAAATTACTTAATTTAGGTAAAGTTCATTTTCATTGTGAAAAAGTAGGGACAAAAATAATAAATCAATAAAATAATACCAAATTGGCAAGATTACCATGCTTACATGAAATACAGTATTTGGTGTGGTATACAACCAAATCAGATTTCAGTAACTTAGTGACCATTACATTTTTATTGTTTTTATTATGCAAATGAGTTAGTCAAGAGATCATAGAGTTGCACAAATTCAAGGCCTTTCCCAACCATATATAAGAGCAGCCACAGGTCTGAGCCAGGGCAATATGATGGAATGAAAGATTCCTACTGGTGTGTGTGTGTGGGAGGACTGGAGAGATAGATCAGAGGTTAAGAGCACTGTCTGCTCTTCCAAGGAAGCTGGGTTCAACTCTCAGCACCCATATGGCAGCTCACAACTGTCTGTAACTCCAGTTCCAGGTAGTCTGACACCCTTACACCAATGCACATAAAATAAAATTTATAAAAAAGAAAGAGTCCTACGGTTGCATCAACCTTTGCAGTGAGCTTGAGAAAATCTATAGCAAGAAAACCAATCAAAAGAAAAAATGGAAAATTTTCATGCCCATAACTTATTCTACAATTGATGGTTTAAATACCAGATGAGGCATCAGAAAATATAACCAGGAAGAAATCTGGATTATTATTTCCTGGCAATTTTAAAGAACAGGGTGGATTATCTAAAAAAGAGAAAGAAACAGACACACTCATGTTATCACAAAATAATGAAAACCATTCCTCTGGAAGGATTTGAGAGCTAATTTAATTCTAGAGGCATTATATATGTAAAAGGGTTAACAAGCATATCAACACATTAATATTTATAGTCAATCATGTAAGTGTAGAGTAGATATTTTCTTCTAAGCATTCTTCCCAAAGCCCATGACTCCAAATAATTTATTCTGAATAAAGTTAATAACTATATATACATATAAAAATTTCTATCATATGGAGATTCAAAGACAAAATCAGTAAGTATTTGAAGAAAATGCAGAAAACTTAAGCATTAATTGAAGCTAAAATTTTGGGAACTGTATTCAGAGGCCTGCTTCCAACTGAAAAGGACAAAAACACATGCTTTTCAGAGACTTCAAGATCAAAAATACTGTGATTCTTTGGTGCATAGCCTTACAAGGCAGTTATAGAATATTTGATTTTTCCCAAGATATGTCTTTTCTAAAAAAAGACTTTATAGCTAATGATTCATCTCAAATGCTTTAAATTACACAAAGAAAAAGATAGATTATAAATTTTCTTGAATGAAGCTTATGTTTATAAAGCTTCTGGAAGAACACAAGGAGAATATATAACATCAGGGTAGGCAAAGATATTTTAAATGAAACACAAATGTCATCAAACACAAAAGGAAAAGACTGAAAAAAAACCCCCACACATACTAAAACTGGTTATTAAAAGAGAAAAAAGGCAGTTCATGAGGCAGATGATGTTTGCAATTAAAGACAGACAACAAAGGGTTTACATTTATGATGCATATTAAAGTCTAACAAATCAATTTGGAAAATACAAACAATCCAATTAAAAACTAGGTAAAATATTTAAGATGACACTTCACAAATCAGGCTAACATGTGGCAAATAAACAATAAAAGGTTCTTAACCTCATTAGTTATCACAGATATTGAAATCATAATTAATGTTATTTATTAGAATGGCTAATATTTAAAAGACTGACCCCACACTGGTCTATGAAAGTGTAAATGATCGTAAGAAACTGAAGCAAATAGACCTGTTATTACATTGCTGGCTTGGGCATGAATTGATATAAGCCACTTTTGGCAGCAGGTATTATAGTTATAAGGTATGCATAGGATATGAACAGATACATGTCCTTTGACCTAGCAAATCTACTCCTTTAATTAAATATTTAATTAAAACATACAGATGTGAAAGATGAGTAAAAAGGCTCGGTTTCTGCAACTGCTGGAAACAACCTAAATGTCTACTGAGGGTGAATGGATAAATAAACTGTGGTATATTCACACAATGAATATGAAATAGGATGTATGGGTGAAAAATTAATGAACTACTACATGCAACAGCATGGATGGATCTTACAAGCATGATGAACAAAACAATCCAATCTCAAATGAATATATACTATAGGATTCTATTTATATGAAGTTCAAAAACTGGCAAAACTGTTACCTACGGTGAGGGAGATCAGTTACTGGCAGGGAGCAGAAGAAAGGCTTCTGGGGTGTTGGTAATGTTCTATTTCTTGATCTGAGTGGCAGTTAAATGAATATGTTTAATTCATGAAAATTCATTCAGCTATACAATTATGCATTCCATATTCTCTGGGTGTACATCATATTTCAATGCAAAGTTTAACATAATTAGAATGGTGATATCATCTCAGTCATCTTTCTATTAAGTATAATGAACTAAAGTCTGAACCTGAGGACTGAAATAGTAACACCAAATGCAAGAAAACACATGGATAAAAGGTCAAAATAATGTAAATTTACAAGGAAAAGTTACTGAATTTATGACAGAGATCTGTGAAAATGTTACTTTGGGATTTTATTTTATTTTGGAATTTTGAGACAGGGTCTCACTATGTAGCTCTGGCTATCCTGGAATTTGCTATGTAGATCAGGCTCATCTCCAAATCACAGAGATCCACCTGCCTGTGCTTCTTAAGTACTGAGATTAAGGGTGTATGCTACCATGCCTGGAGGATTTTATTTTTTTGAGACAGGTTCTTGCTGTGTTCCCTGTTTCAGCTTCCCAAATGCTAGATTATAGATTACAGGTTTGTTAGCAACCCTACCTTAGGACTTTTTAGAAAATAGTTTCATTTACACACACACACACACACACACACACACACACACACACGCGCGCGCGCGCGCGCGCGCGCGCGCTCACGTGCTAAAATGTCTGACTATCAAAAGACACAGTTAAGACTGTCTTTTGCTTCGTGTGTATGTTTGAATGCACATATGTGCATGCATGTGTGCATGTATATGACTGCTATAGCTTTAGAGCAGTAGATTTCAACCTTCCTAATGCTGAGATCCTTTAATAAATCCTTTAATCTCATGTTGTGGTGACCCCCAACCATAGAATTATTTAGCTGCTACCTCATAACTGTAATTTTTCTATTGTTATGAATTATAAATATTTAATACATGACCTCCAAAGGGGTTGTGACCAACAGGTTGAGAACCACTTCCTTAGAGACAAACAATAGGCTAATCTTTCTATGATTTTCTTTGCGAGCCATTATAGAGCCCTAATGAATGGCATCAGATCACTGATAAGAATTGGGGTTGGAGAGATGGCTCAGCAGTTAAGTGTGTGTAACTGCTCTTGCAGAGAAACCCAGAGTTTGGTTACTAGTATCACATGTTATTTCCAGCTATAAGAGATCCAATGCTTCTGGCCTCCATAGGCACTTGCATGCATGTGCACATACTCTTTCTCTCACTCACATAGTTAAAAATAACAAATTTAAAAAGAATTAACACAAATGTTATATATTCTCTTCTGAAAAAGGACAATTATTCCCTAATTTTTAAATTTTATTTTTGATATCACTTTCTTTTTAAAATTTTTCTCTCATATATTACACAGTTTCCCCTCCCTCCTCTCTTTATTGTCCCTTTCCTCC